AAGACTTTGATTGAATACTATATTAATTTTGTCTATATCGAATCTTTTGCATTATAATTAATAATTAAATTTTTTTGTAATGAAAGAAAACAAAAGACTGTGTACTATCATCATAAAACATGTAGTATTTCATTTGTATTTTTAAAGTTTCTTGAAGTATAATGTATCTCCTTTGGCATAAACTTCACATTTCGATATTCAACATATAGAGGTATAGACCTATCGGCTGAACTGCCGTCAGTGAATGCATCGACTTACATTTTTATCAACAAAATATACAGTAAAACCTCCCATAGTGGACACTCCGCGGTCCGACGGAGAGGTTTTTGCTGGAACTGAACCTCTCTATAGTGGACATTTTTGAGAATTCTCATTCAGTGTCAACTAAAGAGCCTTCCTGTATTCTAACAATTGTTGATTTTTTTGTATTTCAAGAACAAAAGTGCATGAGGAGAGAAGTAATAATGAGGACTGGTTAGTTATCTTATTCACTAACACCCTTCAAATCCTTAGAAAACGCGCCCGCTTCTTCGAAAAACTTCACTTTTTGAAAAGATCAAACCTCTTTATAGTGGACACTTTCAAAAAGACCCATAGGTGTCCACTATAGGGAGGTTTTACTGTACAAACATAGTATTGATGAAATATCGTCATTTATAGATTTAAAAGCATGCTGCTAAAATCTTTTATAAATATTAATTTATTTAATTTTATTGAAAAAATTTTTCTCATGAAGGTATTTCTAATGCAATGTATCCATTACCATCACCAACATCTTTTCAATCACCATATTCGCAACCTTGGTATCATTTTTTTGTTTTCTATGATTTCAAATTAAAAATATTTATTTTAGGCGTCCACCAATGTTTTCATTTGTATTTCCAACAAATTATCCATTACCTGAAAATTCATCATCTCATTCAATTCCATCATTACAAAAACGATCAACACATATTCGACGTGTTATTGATCATAATCATCAACAACAATCTAAATCATCTCTATTTCATGATGATAATAAACAAAAAAAATCTCATATAAAAAAACCTTTAAATGCTTTTATGTTATTTATGAAAGACCAACGAGCACAAGTTGTACAAGAATGTACATTACGTGAAAGTGCAGCAATCAATCAAATTCTCGGACGAAAGGTAAAAATTAAAAAGAATAAGTCTTCCTTATGAATTGAATAAACACAGTCAATCAGGGCCCGCGCGAAGGATCCAATATTAGGGGGGTGTATGGCGGATTGGGGGGGGGGGGCTGTCAGGGAGTATTTTCAGAAAAATCTTGCAGAAAAATCATAAAATGCGGACAAAATCTGCTCCTGTGGCCGGAGAAAACTGAAAATTTTTGATTTTTGTGGGGGTGTACACCCCCCCCCCTACACCCCCCGCTCGCGCGGGGCCTGCAGTCAATAGAGATCGTTCGGTATAATGTGCACTATACCAACCGTAGTTTGATAGTAAAATAGTTGTCAATCTTCTAACGGTTACTCTTTTGTGGTATATCAATAATTGTTCTGTGAATAAATATGTGATATGAGTTGAAAATAAAGCTTAAGTGATTTTGAACTTTTTTTGTTTTTGTTTTCTCTTTAGTGGCATGAACTTGATCGTAATGTTCAACAAAAATATTATGATATGGCACGTGATGAACGTATGAAACATATGCAATTATATCCTGGATGGTCAGCAAGAGATAATTATGGTGCAAGAAAAAAACGAGGAAGTAAAGGAAAAAAACGAGAAAAAAATCAAAGTGAAAATGGAGGTAATTTATATATTAAGATTATTTGTTATATTATTATTGTTTGTTTGTTATTGAAAGAATGTCTTAATCAAAAAAAATGTCGAGCTAGATTTGGTCTTGATCAACAAGCAAATTGGTGTAAACATTGCAAGTAATATTTAATAAAACAAAAAAAAACATTTGATAAAAAAATATTTTTACATTTTTTGTTTTTTAGACGAAAGAAAAAATGTTTACGTTATACAGAAAATGAAACAACATCTGTTGGTATTAGTTCTTGGAGTGAAGAAGATGATACAGATAATATTGATGATTCAAATGATTGTGATGTTATTCCAATTAATGAACATAATAATAAAAATTTATCTATTCATACAGGTGGTATATCAATGGATTCAGATGAAGAAAATAAATTACGTTTATTAAAATATCAACAAATATCAAATACAAATGAAAATAATTTAAGTACTAATAAAACACCTATTTCAATGCAAATGATGACATCAAGAAAAGATTCATCATCATCATCATCATCATCTTCAAGAGTTTCATTTCTTCAATCATCATCTCATCCATATTCATATTTTGATTCATTTTTACCAACAACATCAATGCCAATTTTAAATGAATTTAAACGAGAAACATAAAAAAAAAGTTTTGTTTTTGAAATTATTTCTTTTTTCTAGTCAGAATTTCGAGATCGATCAATCTCGTTTATCATCTATACATATATATATACAGAGTATATAATAATATTTTTCCAAGCATACATATTATTGATAGATTTCATATTAAATAAAAGTTTGTCGAAGATGAACTTTTTGAGTATTCATTCATAATCTATAAGATCATTATCATCTTTAGAATACAAGAATATTTCGAAATATTCTACTATTTTAATGACTATAATCATCCTATGATGTATTCACTATACTTAGAAATCCTTTTTCTTCTTCTGACGAGCTTTCATTTAATATACAATTTATTGATTATGCTATGTGAAATTAAAGGACTAACCGTCTGGAAAAATATTATTATACACTCTGTATAATCTCTTTGTAATCTTTATTTTTTGTTTCTATATTCAATTATTGTTCGTTATAAATTTTTTCGCATGTAATATAGTCTTTAATCATTTGTATGTATAAAAATCGTTTTGTTTTGTTTTTCTTGTCAACATAAATAGAAAATACATTAAAAATAATCGAAAATTTTTATTATCGTATATGAAGAATTTCTTCCAGATGAGTACAAAAAAAAAAGAATAGATAGTGATTATGAAATGGTTTATTATTGAATGTAGCAAACATTTGGATCTATGTTCAAGAATATGATAAAATGTTAATCTTGTTTTTTTTTAAAAGATTCACAATGGAATATTGTATTCAGAATACAATGTTAAATTTTTATAGCTATTTTTGCTAAATCTTAATTGGCTACTAATATATCAATTTCTCTGTGATTAGTAACAGTAGCATCTTCGTAGGACTTGCCCTAAGAGCTTTCTATTGTGCATTATATGTTTGCTATTAGTACGAGAGACATTATTTCATAGATAGCTCGTGTGGTTCAAAGCAGACAGAAATTGCTGGTAAACGACCGTTCGGCATAATTTTTGTTTAAAAGAGACATTTCACATTTATGCGTAAATCAGTATAAATCCAAATTCTATAGACAATTCGATCAGAGATATTTACTTTGACACGTTGGTTTTTTTTTTGATCATCGTAGAACAAAAAATAGGGAATAAGTATAATCTTAATGGCTTATGATTTTTTTTTCGTGTGTTTTTAAAGATTAGTTCCAATGATGGTGAATTTTTTTTTTGTCTATTTATAAAAAAACAAAACTCATGATTTTAAGGTTTTCTATCAAAATCATTTTATTTGTTAAATAAACTTCAAAACTTTATCTACAATGCAAAAGTATTCGTACAAATATCAGAACATGTTTTAAAGCAAGAATTCATCTAGTGTTCTTCATTTGGCTTTTATTCGAATGACTATAAAAAAACAGTTTAGATAAACATGTCAACAAACAATATAAATATCCTTCTTGTACATTTTCAAAAATTTTTCTCGATCATCTCAAAATGATATGTTAAACCATGTCTACATGAAATTCTTTTAGTTAATTAATTTAAAATTTTAGCTTCTGATGTTCTCTCATACACCTTCTATTCCAAGAATGACTAAATAATTTCATAACTGATAACGACGAGCCTGAATCAACTATGATTCATTGTATACATAATATTTTATTATTCTTAACTAGTTTATTACAAAATCGATGGGCAACTATCTGAGTTAGTAGTAGACTATGGTTACCTATGTGGGTGTCAATGCAACAAAGAAAACAGTCACATCCACACCTACATATATTTTATATAAAAATGAGATAATATTGTATTCTTAGCTTTTATACTGTCTACAGATTAAACCTATCTTCTATTCTACTCTTCTAAATGCAATTACTTTACTTAAGATAGGTATAAATGATTTATTTAATCAAGATAAGACATATTTAGTTGAATTATTTGATAAATAGTTACCCCACGACAAATCACAAAAAAACAAGAGTTTATATTTTTATAGGATTTATCAAGCTTAGATTTTAGTGTAATATTTATGTTTTTTCATCCAATAAATGTAGCTGCTGTGATGATTAAGTACTTAATTCTTATCAATAATATATACGTATAAATGTTCGTGTATATTCATATATTCGATCATTTTCGAGTGAGAATTTTTTTCTTACAAAACACTATTATTATCTTAGGATTTCCATTATGCATTCGACACTACAGATTTTCAAAAGTATTTATATAATAATAATTGTGTGTTGTATCACACACCAAGGTAAATTGCTTTAACTAATTTACAAAAAAAAAAAACCAAATGATTTCTTTTTTATTAAAGACAGATATCTTAAATTCAATCTTCTTTTATAATAATCCTATAGGAAGGTTCAGTTCTATGATTAAGTCTGTGAGGATTCAAATTTTTATCTCTATATTTCAATACTCTTTTAGGATCATGTTTTATAAAAACTGATATTATATTAGATGGATTTCTACAGTTGTGTAGAAGCTTAGTCTACAAATTTTTCGAAGTTTTTGCTATTCAAATTAATTAGAACAGTCATATCCAGAATTATAAGCTTATATTTTAGGTCAAGCCACTTTAAGCGATCATAATGATGAATCAGTAGTGAAGTCATGTCAAATATATGGTGATCTTCATGTATGGATGTACAATCAGCGATTAGATCAACCACGATCAATACAATGGTGTAAAGGAGAAGGTGAACATCTTATTTATGAAAATGAATGGATTCAAATTATTGTTACTATTACAAAATTTCCAAATTGGAATAAAAAAGTAAGAAATAATAGTGAAAATATTTAGTTTTAAAATCAATCTAATATTTTACAAATTGTTTTGATTATTTTCATTGTTATTTAGTATAACATCATATTTAAAGATCATAATAAGATTTTATGTACAATGCATAATACTCAAAATACATGTAATCATCAAAGTAATGTTTTATTATCTAGAAATATTTTTTTTGTATTTATTTTTCAAACTTATATATATAGAAATACAAGTGAAAACATGGGGTTTAATCACACAAGTCATCTATCCAATAGCATCTTTACATATAATTATTGTTCGTTATGGAAATGTAAAATAAATTATTACAATATAATTTGTAATGTTTCTATTAATTTTATTCTTTTCTTTCTTCTTAGGAATCGTATCATGATATAAAATTATACCAACAGAATTCAACAATTATTCATCAATCAAAGGGATTATGTGTTCATCAATCAATACATTGTGAAATAGAAAATATTCATCATCGAAATCAACTTGATGTAATAAATCCAACAGATGAACAATTCTTTATTTATGAACATGCTGAAGAGATTTGTGTTCAGTATCATGAATCTGTACGTCAGATGATAAGAGAATTAGATTTACCTTTGATTAGTCAAACAACAAAAGATATATCGATAATATCTTGTATCAATGATCTCAAATCAACAGGAAATAGACAAGTAAGCATTAACATCAAAATTATTCATATATTGAATTTTTGTGTACGTTCATAGTTTGCCAAAAGTATTTTACAGTTATCCATCTGGGATAGTTTCAATAATTTTGACATAAACGAAAATCAGATAAAAAAATATTTTGAAAAAATTGATTATGCATTAGAAAAAATTCTTCAAATTATTGATGATCGCATAATAGATAATGTCACTATTGATAATTCACAATCATATACAACATTAGAAGATGAAACTTCTCAAGAAACTACAATAGCATTAATAACTACAACAATATCAACATGTATGTTAAAGAATTTATCATATAATAATACTTCATTCAGAGATGTCCATCGCGGCGCTGCCGCTGCCGCGCCGCTGCCGCGATGGCCTGTGGCGGCAGCGGCAGGTTTTTTAAAAAATCACCGCGGCAGCGGCGCGGTAGCGGTAGATTTTTTAAAAATCATCGCGGCAGCGGCGCGGTAGCGGCAGGTTTTTTAAAAGACCATCGCGGCAGCGGCAGGATTTTTTGGGGGGACATTGAAAAACTGCATGAATTTAATAGAATTTCAGGGTTTACAAATGAAACACCCCGAGACTGAATGAATCTGATGGACTAGTACCAATATCTCTGGTCAAATATAGTCGCAGCAGTGAAATTAGAAACACTTTTTTATAAACCGCCGCGGCAGCGGCGCGGCGGCGGCACGTTTATTTTATAATTCATCGCGGCAGCGGCGCGGCAACGTTTTTTTTATAAACCATCGCGGCGCGGCAGCGCCGCGGCAACATTTTTTTACAAACCGTCGCGGCGCGGCTGCGGTGCGGCAGGTTGTTTTTGTCTAAGGCCGCGGTGCGGCAGCGGCAGATTTTCAGCCGCGATGGACATCTCTGACTTCATTATCATTCATTTAGCAAAAATTACTACTACTACTACTACTACTACCACTACTACTACTACTACTACCACTACTGCTACTACTACTACTACTACTTTCACTTCTACTAGAAGTCTAACCCCAAGTTTAGACAATAGTGATAATAAGGGTATATGTCATGTTTATGGTGATCCACATATTATCCGTTTCACACAACAAACAAGTATACCTCAAGATCAATATTGGTGTAAAATGTCAGGTGAACATCTTATTCTTAAAAATGATTATGTTGAAATAAAAACTTTAATGCAACATCAAACTTGGTTTATAGTTAATGTAAGTTTAAATATTTATAAAAACTAAAAAAATATTTTTGACTTTTTTCTAAATATTATTATTAGTTTAATATAATATTTTTCAAAGAAAATGGAACAATTCTTTGTACAATTACTGATAATGAACAGTATTGTAATAGTTTAGGTAATGTTTAAAATTGAAATATATCATTATTTATTAATATATTATAAATAGAAATTAAAATAACTCGTCCAAGTTTATCACAAGTTAATATTTTATATATTACACCTCAATTACATATATCTATTGTTCCACATCAATATCAAGTATATAAATTTTTTGTATTAAAATTTAATTCATTTGTTTCATATGATATTTTATAGTTAGATTCATATGATATGAATATACGTATGCCTTATGACTTGATTCGTCAATCAAATGGTCTTTGTATTATATCATCAGTTGAAAATTGTGAAATTGAAAATAGTATTGAAGATGAAGAAGAAAATAATATTAATTCATTATCTAAATTAATATGTGAACAATATTTAACAGCAAGTATTCAAGCATCTAATCAATTAAGTCTTGTTAATAATCCAGATATACATAACAATGCATTGATTGCATGTATTCATGATTATCAAACAACAGGCAATAAAAATGTAAGAAAAATATATTGAAAAAAAGAATTTTTTTTTCTTCTTCTATTCAATCTCATTGATATTAGGTTGGTATCAGTATAATAGATATGATTATCAAACATGGAATTAATAGCAAGCAACTTAATAATTTACAATTTGATTTATTAACAATTGAAAGTATGAGCATAATTGATAATGCTATAGCTAATGCAAGTGCTCAAATTAATATTATTCTTCCTTCAACAACAACAACACAAATATCAGTACAAAATACAACAAAAGAAATAATAACGAGTTCTATGATAACTATAACACAAACAACAACATTATCAAGTTTATTTTCAGAAACAACAACAACAACAACTTTGACAAACTTGATTTCAACATCAACATCGTCAAGATTACCTTCAACAACAATATCATCAAGTTTATCTTCAACAACCAGATTATCAACTCCTTGTCCAACAACAACAACGTCGGACTGTTCGATAACAGTTAAATCAATTAATGTTGTTATTATTTCTTTCTTATTTTTTTATCTTTTATTGAATTATTTTATTTTTTAATTTAACATGATCGAACGATTAAGTGCCTATTCAAATATTCAAGAATTTCATAATTATTTATTGTAGATATAAAAGTTCATATTATTAAGAATAGAACTATATTGTCATAGTAGTCTATTTTTCTCGAAAATTATATTGCTTTATCAGCAAAAAAAAAATAAAGATAGTTTCTCTTACAAATATTTGCAATTTAGACTGCTTTTGATATCAATAATATGAAAGTATATACAATGATCCTTTTAAGTAACTTAACAATAAAAAATTTTCATATCTTCGTTTTAAATGAATCAATCTTTTGGTTGATGGTAGAAGCTTATAGAAAATTGCCTTTTTTAAATAAACACTTTTGTTAGATATTATTATTGACATCATTAAAAACATTTTATCGAGTGCTAAGTTAGAGAAATACATGTGAAGTAATTCATAGAGAAACTTTAGTTATTATAATTATTAAAGAATTAAAAGTTTGTTTTAATTTCTTCTTGCTACTCTTAAAAATGTCAATTGAAACTTCTATAGAATACTTCATATATATATTTCTTATTTGACACTATGTTAAGTTTTTTAATGATGTCGGCAACAATACTTAACTATAGAGATTGCTTGAAAAACAAATTTTAAATAAACTTCTACTATAAATCAAAAGATTAGTGTTATTGATTGAATTGAAGCACGAATATCGTCATATTTTTTTTAATCTTAGAGTTATTTATTAGTCATTCTATATATTTTATTGTAATGAATAATTTAGAATATACATGTTCATTGTATAAAGTTTTTCGTAGTCTTCTTGTGAGTACAAACATGAAAAAATTAGGTAACAGATATTGTGAAATCAATTCTTGAAATATATCCAAGAGCTTCGACTTTTGTAATTCCAACATAAAACCGAAAAATATTGAGCACGATATAATTGGTTGTTCTACTAGAATTTTTCTCTTTGCTTTTTATCATGATGAATCGCCTTGCCTTTTAAATTTGAACTTCTTCTTTCATCGATTCATGATTATACAACTGTTCCTGTTTTTTTTGCATATTATTTTTGAGAATAACGTCTTCTCTTGAAAAAATTTTGTGGCAAATCTGTAGGCTGGACTTCTAAAAAAAAATTTTACAAAAAAAACTAGTCTATATGAACAAGGTGAAATACTAGAAAAATTAATTTTAAGGCATGAAGCTTTCTTTTATTGTATGATCGTGTAGGACAAGCCATTTCTTTAAAAGACTGATTTTCATTTCTAAATGGTTAGCATTGGTAATTGGTAAATGAAGTTCTATGAAAAATGTTCGTTTCTCTACCAAAGAAAAAAATACAGGTGTAACAGCTTCGATTGCATAACTCACTAGGAATTCAATCGTTCTTTTTATGCAATAACTTGTATAGGGAAGAAAATAAATAGATAAAGATAAAATGGAATACTAATCCATGACTGACATTCTCAAGCAGATCCAAACAACATCACAAGAAATACTTATAAATCAGTTACAAATTAACTTCAAGTCATCATGTATATATATCCGATGTGTTCTAAAGGGTTTACAGGTACAATTAGGAAATGAAGAGACATATGAGCATATTAGATAGCATTGATCTGATACAATGTGAGTACCATTAAATCTTCATGCATCTACCGAAAAGCATCTCAATAGCTGATGATGCTACGAATTCTTAAACAAGAATACATCTCTAACTATTTCAATGCGATCCTAGTGCGTGAGAATAATGGCTTAATTTTGATACTTACGTTCCGAATTTATCAACAACATGAAAAAATAACCATACTCTGATTTAATTGAAAAGAAAAAGAATGAACCTTCACGAGTGGATAGTTTACTTAAATTTTACGCGTTTTCCAAGTTTTGTCTTGAAGTATGGAAGTGTCGTTTTTTTTCTCCTTGGTATCATGTAAATAAATATTTTAGAAGAAAAATATTGATGTTAAGGTTTGAGTCTAGTTAAATGATAATTGAATATATGATATTTAATCTTGAAAAAGAATTATTCAGTTGTTTAATTGATCTTGGCGACCAAATATCAATAAGCAAGCATATGAATCTTTTTTTTAACACCATGTTCTATTTATTTGGACGATAATTTTCAGGAAGAATTAATATTGAAACATTTAAATTAGACACAATAGAGTTATTCATGTAAGATCAATTGCGTGATTTAAAAGTATATAGCGTATGAAAACAATAGAATTTCTTAACGAAATTCATTTCTGAATAAATAGGAAGCATCATTTTATAGAGCACTTTTTTTCTTTATTTCAGAATTATATGTGAATAAATATTAACAAAAAAAATTAAGCACAAAGCTTAATTTTATTCATGATTATTCATTAATAGCTAATTTTATTCAGTAGGACAGATTGTTTGTCCTCTTGCTCTGTTCGATGGACAAGGAACTGGTGCTGTACGAGTATTCGTGCAGATGTAACCAGGTGGACAAGTGATACAGTATGCTGAACCGGCAACATCTGTGTATGTTCCACTGGGACACAGATCACATTCAACACGGCCATGCTTATCGTTTGCATAACCTGGTTCACATAGAATAGGATTGGCAGCAGGATTTGGACAATAATGACCTAGATTAAAATAAATAAAAATATTATTGATTAGTTTTTCTAAATATTCTATGCATACCAGGAGAACAAATTCTGCAATAACTTTGTCCTGTTAATGTTGTCTGATAACCAGTTGCACATGTCGTACCCACTGTTTGTCCTTCCAAACAATAAGATCCTGCGGGACATGGTTTTGGTGGTTCACTTGCATTATCACAATAGCTACCGATCGGACATAGATCACATACGATAGCAGCTGAAGATGCACTATATTGGCCATCAGCGCATGGTGTACAAGCTGTTTGACCATGTAGTGCATTAGCTGTTCCAGGAGCACATGGTTTTGGCTCTTCATTTCCCGTCAAACAGTAATGGCCAATGGGGCAAGTCTTACACAATTCTGAACCACTTTTAGTTGTATAATGACCTGCAGGACATGCAGTACATGACACTTGACCAGAACCGCTAAAATAGCCTGCAAGAGTAATATGAAATTATTTCAACTTTAAGACAATCTATATAAATATGTATAATGTCGAGTGTCTGTTTATTATCAGGTTAAGAATAGAGAAGGGCGAGAGCTTGATCGTTAACCTGATAACAGATGAACGTTTACCACTCTATATTTTCGTTTTGTATGAGGTTTAGGTTAATGTATGTATACCTGGTGGACATTGTTGTGGTAATTCACCTGGATTGGAACAAGACGATCCTGATGGGCATAATGTGCATTCTACTGAAGCCCGTGCAGGTGTATAGGTACCAGAGCCACATGGAGTACACTCTGTTTGTCCTAATTTGTCATTGTAAAATCCTAAAGGACAAGGTTGAGGAGGTAATTCAGCAGTTCCACAATAGTGGCCTTGTTCACATATGGTACAGTATGACGAGCCACCTTTTGTTGAATAATACCCAGCTTGACAGGGTTTACATTGAGCTGCCCCAGCATTACTCCATGTCCCCGGTGGACATGGAATGGGTGTAATACCTCTACCTAGACAATAATATCCTGCTGGGCAGTCGGCTGCATTATCAGCTATTTGTTGTGCTGAAATGCCACTCATAATTGACAAAAACAACACAATATATTGCATTATTTAAGGATTTTTTGATGTCTAGATATGTACTATGCTGGTCAACTGTTAGTTATACGGATTCCTTCTTTCTTCTTTTTATACTATGTCAAGTAATAAATGATTAAAGATATAAGATAAGAAGGGTTTTTGCCCATAAGGACTGCTTTGATTATTATCATATGGTTTTTTATGTGTTTTTTTTCCAACATCAGATATCATAAATCAATTGGATTAGTAAAGAGCATTTGAGTTCTTCCATTTTTCATCGAAACTGTTATTGACATTAACTATGCATGTGATAAAGAATAAAGTCGAATGATTTATTTTTATGGTCCTATACTTTAAATTGATTCGACCTTATTATGAACTACAAATATTTTCTTTAGACCATCATCTTGAAATGCTGTGTGAAGTTGAATATATTAATCATAATTAATAATAATAATTTGATAAGAATACTAGTAAAGATGAATCTACATAGAATATTCTTTAATCTACATCGAGCCTTAAGTAATGTTTGTGTAACTATTGTAGACATACTCAGTTATATATGTGAACAAAATAGCCGACATGGATATTGCACAGAGAATAATTATTATAAACATGAGAAATATGAAAGAACTGATAGGACTTTGACATATTTCATTATCAATAGTGTAAACTACTTTTCCATTGAATAATTATGAATGAAGAAATGAAATAAGAAAAATGTACTTAATACTAATAATTATATGAAAATAAAAATAAAAAACTGCTGTCTATATCTAGCTTTGTCTGGTATAAATATACATCGAAATATATCCATCATGATAATCACTGAATTTCTGATAGAATTTATTATTCATGTTAATTAAGACTTTTATTTATAGTCAAACAATATTGATATAAGTAAATAGATTTTTTTTTAAAAACTTTTCTTTCATTCAATCTAATGATTCGAAATTAAGAACAAAAAAAAAATCTGAAACCCGTCAATAAGTCTTTTTATTTGAGCTTTTCATTTGTAAAGCCAAGAAATTTGCAATAACAATATAGAAATCAGTTGATACATCTGTTGAAAATAAATAATAGCAAACTATAACAATAATGATTGCCAAAAAAACAAAAAAGTTACACGTTCTGATATTAAAAGAATTATTTAGAAAGAAAAATGAACAGATTTTTTTTCTTTATTTCTCTCTAAAAATTTTTTTTACAACAAACGATCACAGAAAAAAAAAATTATCTTCGTTTTTTTGTATTATGATCATAAATCAGGATTATTTCTCGAACATTGTAAAAAAAAGGTCTGCAAAAGATTAGTGTTTTTTTGTTAAAGCCAATGTCATTTTTTCAAAAACAACTACATTCACAAGTGTATTTGCACCACTTTAGATAAAAACAAGATGATTGTCGTAAAAAAGAAACTCATAAAGATTACGGTATATATGAATTTGGAAGAAATGTGAACGAGAAAAATTTTCCATATGAAAAAAAAAAAAGTATCAATAGAGGGTTAAAAAGATGTAAAAAAACATCGAGACTCGTAATATTTATTATTAGACAAAAACATTCTTTTTATTTTAACAATTTTGAGAGATCAAAGTTCAAAACAGATTGACACATATGAATCATAAACGAAAGTCTTTCGACGTTTGAAAGTCAACAAGAACAATCTTCCTTTCTTCGTACATAGTTTAGTAACAATATGTGTAACACTTGATTTTTTAATGATGTTGATTGATACAAAGATAAAACGACTATGATTTCTTTAGATTATTGAAATATAATATATGGCACCATTAAGTATTGTTTGTTTTTGAACAAACCATCATTACAATAAATATCATTTTTTATTTCTTGTAGTTATACTATTTTCAAAAATAATTGAATGTTAAACTTTATATCTCAATATCAACATAGGATATTTTCACTGTTCTAAATATTTAGTTTCTCGAGTAAAGTAATATAAACATCATGAGATATTTGAAGAAGGTGAGTACAATATATTGAAAAATTTGGAGTAAGTGTGGATGTGGGACTCGTTGAGAAGGAGACTCATATCCACATCATCATATAAACTTCTTAGACTTGACTTTATGTTTAATCAGAGGTAAAAACTAACTTTAGATTCTTTTTATGTTTAGATCATTGATGATAGATTAAAGAAGTCTGTAGACATGTATTGTATATTTCAATATTTTGAACAAAATCAAACTAACTTCAGTACTAGTAGAAATTAACTTATAAAGTATTTCTTTCTAAACATTGTCATGGACTATTTCGACAATTGTTTATAATAACATAAATAATTTGATAATAATGAAGATTTATTATCAACTTTCATGTTTACAAGCAATGCTGATTCTAGATTATTAAGATCTAAGAAATTCGAATTTCAATTTAGTACTAACATAATTTTCAAGATTACGAATACAAAGATAAATTCTTAGAGTGAATAGCTTTACACCTTCATATAACTCTTTGAACAATCACAATTAAGATGAATAGTCGTTTATTATAAAGATCCTTATAGTACAAAAAGAGATAAAAATTACGATAGTTTTATTGTTTGAATTGCTTAACTTATATTTATTTTTGTTATTAGATAAATTATTTGAATATATAAATGATTTATGTGTTCTTATATTCAATAATATGATCATATAAATTAAAACCTTGTTGTTATGATAATAGCCATTCCAAGCAGACAACACATGATTATAATAATAAAATATTTCTTTTGAAAATTGGTTTATTATAACTGATATCTTTCATATTGTATTCTATCGTTAATCATTCAATTTACACTAATAATTATATATAAAAATATAACATTGAGAAAAAAAAAACAAATTACAAATTAAAAGATATATTTTTTTAAAGAGTTATAAATGTATTTGTTATTTGATATGAGCAACAATTATTATTGATTTGTAAGAGTTCAGAAAACATTTATAATAAACTAAAATAAATGAACATCAATGAAAAAAAAAGTGTGTTAAAAAATAAATGACAACTTGAGATGGTTTGATTTATTTATCTAGAATTAGATAAAAAGTCTTTTGCTCTATACAAAGGTAAGGCGCGCATATGACACAAAATTCGAGTAGATTTTATATCTCATGGATTTATGTATGGTATGATAAAGTTTGAAGAGCTGATTACAAGTATATGGATGAATTGTGCTTGTATTGTACTGTTGCTTTCCAAACACGAAAACGCTTATATCTCAACTTCTACTCAACAGATTTGGACAATTTTTTTTTCGAATTCTCCTTGTTCTCTTCCTTACTTATCATAAAAATATCAAGTCTTTTTTGGCTGCCGTCGTTCCAAAATTTTCGAGCAAGAAAGATAAAGAAAAATCTGTGCTTTTTAGCGCTATGTACCGATGAAAATCACTTTCTGTTCCACAATTTTGATTACATGAAAATAAATTTTTGCACTATTTTATAGCTAACACTTTGCTCTTTCTGATCGTATAAATTGATCGTAAGTTTAGTTTTAATTTGCCTATGAAGTCTTGCAAAAACTGTCTAAACATACACTTTGATCATTTTATGTCACGACAGATTAAATTGAAAGTACTAAAGTCGATTTAAAAGCAAACTCAAATTTTCTTTCTCTATTTGATAGACTAAAGAGCAAGAAATTCTTTGATAAAAAAAAACTTTGTCAGGACTCTCTGTATGAAATAAAAAACTAAAAGTAAGAGAGAAAGGTAGCTATTTTTCTACTAAATGTCACGACAGATTTTCGATAACTATAAGAGGTTAGCCAATGATTTTTTTTTAATCTTTTCTAGCTGGTTATATGATAGATATGTGATAAAAATTTAGCTCTTCAGCCAGTATTGCTCGCGAGAAAACAGAATTTTACTGAAAAAAATATCACAACAGACTAAAACGATAGATATTTAGAAGAAACAAAATTTGGTTTCACCTTCTTTAACTGTAATCGACTGTTTGTACACTGAGCGATGTTTCAGATTTATACTGAGTTTTCTTCTTGTTTCTGATGATCCAGAGATTTGAGAATGTGAGGGTGACACTCGCATCTTCACGCCCCTAAGGCATGCATATTCATGTGTGAATAGAGGTCTGAATATGCTCATTAGATTCTAATTTTCAAACTCTTTCGATGGATATATGATAACAATATATAGATACTCATTTAGTTATTATATTTTGTCAAAATATCTCTAAAACTATTTATTTCATTTTATCAAGAAATCTCGCAGAATATACACTTTTAAAAAATAACTCAATTTTTTCCCAAAACAAAACACCTGACAGTTGGGAGAACACTTAATTCAAATACAGCCAATAGAGCTCTATCGAATACATATCTCAAATAATCTTTATGTTCAATTTTATTTTTTTCGATTTTTTGCTTCGAATGGTACAATACCAATGCAATTCACTCATATACTTTTTATTTGAATTAAGTTACTCTTCCGTTGAGAAATGCAAGAAAAATACAGGATTTTGTTCATGTTTTCTTTGAAACTTGTACTGATTTTGTAATTAATTTTTATTTCAAAAAAAAAAAAAAAAAGATATATTAGATTAAACTTAATATTGTAATGTAATATGAAGAGAAATAGGTTCTGTTTGTTTTGATTAATATGATTATTTTAGTAGCTAATCAATATCTTTCTAATGCGTGCAAAGTTGAATTAATTTGTTGTAATTCTTGTCGTAATAAACGACATTCATGTTCAGCTTGTTGTCGAAGCTTAAATAAAAAAAAAAAAAGAATTTGTTTTTTTCAAATATTTCAATAGAAATACAACGTTGATAATTCATCAATACCGAGACCGATCAACATGTTAAAAATGTACAATGAAGACCAGTCGATGGAAAACAACGGAGACATGAACGCCGATGTTTCCATCTCGAGATCATCTTTTTCTAATGTCATAAATTCCTGTTGCTTTAAAGAAGCTTAAACTAACGAGGGAACATTCCCAAGTGTCCCATCGATTTTGAGTTCGGACTCTATGCATAAGATAGATCCCAGTGATGTATGAAAAACCCCAGAAGAATAAATGCCCTTAGGACTTCTGTCTAGAGTTATAGGCATTTTACCGAAATTTTAGCCTTTGGCATGGTATATACCGATAAATCGAATGACTGTATTTCGACCTGAGATTTTGTCCACAGATATATCTATTTGTGAGTAGAATACGCTGAAAATTTCAGCTCAAAAGAATGTTTTATTCCTGAGATATTAAAGTCCCAAAAAACAGTAAATTCTAGCATCTTTCGTGGGATATTATTGATTTTTGGGACTTTAATATCTCAGGAATAAAACATTCTTTTGAGCTGAAATTTTCAGCGTATTCTACTCACAAATAGATCTATTTGTGGGCAAAACCGTAGGTCGAAATACAGTCATTCGATTTATCGGTATATACCATGCCAAAGGCTAAAATTTCGGTAAAATGCCTATAACTCTAGACAGAAGGCCTAAGGGCACTTATTCTTCTGGGGTTTTTCATACGTCACTGGGATCTACCTTATGCATAGAGTCCGAACTCAAAAACGATGGGACACGTGGGAATGTTCCCTCGTAAGAAAAATACTGATCTTCGCCATAGATTTTTTTTGCCTGCTCATCATCACTACGATATTTTTAACTTTATCATACTTTAGTAGCATCATTCAAACGATGTACAGTTTGTTCAAATTTAATTTGAAGATTCACTGGATTTTTCTAGAGAAAAAATAATCGAAAAGAAATATATATATATTATTCATAAATAATTATGTACTGAAGTTATGCCATCTTTTTTGTTCCATGTTGTTATTTGATTTTTTTCAATAAAATATTTTTGTCTCCGTAAATCTGTTTCTACAAAACAAAATTAAATTATAAAAGAAAATTGTTTTTGTTTTTTGTTCGAACCTTCTCGTCGTCGAATAGTAATTTCATTAAGTAATTCTCTCAATCGATTAACAATTAATACACGATTGTTTTCTATTACAATACGTTTTGCTTTTAATGTTTCAAGACGATTTGAAGATTTTGTAACTTAAATATAAATAATTTATAAAAATTAAAATTTTCTATAATTAATTGACATACCATCATATGTTTTATTGTTGTCGTTATATTTTCTATAAGTTAATTTTCGTCTTTCTTTCTGTGAACGTTCATATTCAATAGCATCAGCTCTAAAAGCACAAAAAAATATAGCAACTATTGATAATTTGTTTTATTCTATCTATTTTTGGAACACATCATCTTTTTATTTAATCTGCAAAAAAATGTAATAAGACGTTAGTTTATTTATTATAACAAGATGTTATTGATATACAATCTGTGATGTTTCCATAGTAATGTTTATCACAATCTCTGATTAGTAATGCACTATTTCAAATTGATCTTCTAACATTTATTTAGCTGGTTCAGCAGTATTTGATTTTTTTTTAAGTTAATTTAATTACATCAACTTTATCCTATAAAAATACTGGTAAGTATCGATAGGCTTTTTTTTTACTCGCTTACTAATTTCATACTTATGCATACCTAAAGAGCCTCACAGTTATCCTTTAGTACATATTTTTCTTCATAGGAATGAAAAATTCCCAGATAGTTACGTTTGTCAGGTAACGGTAAACTGTCACCACTATGAAAAGAAGAATATGATGTATATGATAATGAATGCTCATTTTAAAAAAAACAAGACGGGTGAATATTTCTTGTATAACTTTTGAACAGATTGATTTAGAAAGCTGTGGTATTAACCATTGGAAAGCGGAGATGAAGATGTGTCGGATCATATGTAACAATATTTCCTGAATACTTTCCTAACAGTTTTAGTCAAACGTTTTCAAAAAATTGCTTGATTTTTTCGTACGTTAAAAAAAGTGATTTTTCGTCAAAAAAGGTTACAAAAACTTAAATTTTTCGATTATTTTATTGAAAAAACTGGGCGGTAAATTACACTCTAATGGCTAGAATATCTTACTGATAGTGGTTAGGAATAGAATTTTTATTTAGTTTTGTAGCTCTTGATTTGGTGGTTTTAACACATTCCTCAAAACCACTAAATTAGTGTCGTGACTATGAGAGGCATACTGTTTTTCTAGTAGTTTTATGTAAAATTGTTAGGAAAGTAGTCAGAAAAATATTTTCACATATGGTTCGATGCGTCTTCATCTCCTCTTTCCCATGATGAAAACCGTAGCCCTCTAGCCCAATCCGTTCAAAAGTTATTAAAAAAATACCTACCTGCCTGTTTTTTTTCTTGAAATGAGCATTAGTAGCCCTTTAGGTATGCATACGTATGAAATTAATAAGCGAGCAAAAATATCATCGATACTTACCAGTATTTTTATAGAATAAAATTGATGTTAATTTAATTAACTTAGAAAAAAATCAAATACTGCTGAAACTGATAAATCCCTATATCCAATGTCGAGAGTGGAATGTTGCTCATGTATCTGTAGAAGAGTTCAAATTTTCATCTCTAAACTTCAATATGCATTTTAGATTATATTTCACAAAAAAGAATATGCTGAACAATAAATCCCATAATCAAACTATATTTCTCGTTTTTTTTTTCTCTGACGAAAATACTAAAGAAAAAAAAGTACAACACTAAATCATATATTATCATCTGTCAAAATTTAGCTGTTGTCATTGTACGATAAATTGAGTTAGAACCGAGTGTCTGTCAAGAAAGTAAAAAGTTAATATGAACACACATATTAAAATGTAAGTGTTAGACAAATGAAATTAATACTAATACAACCTCTATTCATAATGATCTATATTGTCTGTATGTCTGGATTATGTTGGACAATAGATTTTGATTTTATAATGAAAGAAATAACTTACTCTTGTTGTTGTTGTTGTTTTATATGATGACGATGGCGATAATTTCGAAAAGCAGTTTGAATTTTAATAGCTGCTTTTTCTTTTTTATGTTGATCTTCTAATTCATGACGTTTTCGAGCTAATTCTTTTTGTAATAAATAAAGACGTTCTTGTTCTTCACGTAATTTAGCTGAATTTCTATAAATAATAAAATATTAATTATAATTATTGTTTAATAAAAGAAATTCTTTACTGTATATTTGATTCATTTGATCGTATCGAATGTCTTTTACTAATAAAAGAAAAAATATATTTTCATAATTTTATTTCTTTTTAAATATTTACTTCGATAATGTAGGAGTAACTGATGAAATTTGTTGTATATGATTATGATTAAATAATGGATGAAGTAATGATGGTTCATCCATTGGTTTTATCCAATTTGGTGAACTCATTATTGATGCACTCATCGTTGATTCTCGTACTAAATCATCTTTTTTATATTCTTCATCATCATCATCATGTTTTCCGAGTATATAAATCTGTAAGATTTTATTAATTTTATCTTAATACTAGGAAAACTTAAAGACATACTTCAGGTGCAAATACCTAGAAAAGAAAAATACATATAAAAGTATACGCATAACATTACGAGAAAATAAGACTCATATTAATCTAACTGTTCCTTTTAGTGCCTTTAAACTACAAAGATTAAAATGAATAAAATTTCGTGATATAATTAAAATATGTAATAATATACAAACCATTGGTGGTCGATAGTTTTTGACTTTTAATTCTTTTTCTTGATGAGTTTTAACCTTAGTTAAACATCGACCAACACTTCGAAGATAATTAAATTCTTTGGGAAAATTTTCTTCTTCACCACAAATATTAATAATATATTGACGAAGCTCATGAATAGTCAAACTTTCAGGAACACTTTTAAAAAATAAATTATATAAAGATTTTATTATTCAAAAAAAAAACTTACTGAACAAAACCTGCTGATACAGCTTGTTTTATTACTTCATTTTCAGCTAAATTTTGACGATTTTTCCAAATTTTTTTTGGTATTATATAAACATGAAGATCAACAAGCTAAAACAACAGATTATTAATTATATTATTAATTGAATTACCTGTGATGTATCAGGTCGATCTATACTAATTAAATCTGCATGTAATATTGATCGTTGATTTTCAATTTGAGATTGCATTTTTAACTAAACATATACATAAACATGCGTGAATTGAATTTCATTTTCTTTTCACTCTTTCAGCTTCTTCATTTTATTCAATACAAAGCGAAGCAAAAAAAAAACAAACAAAAAAAAAGAACGAAATTACTTTGACATCACCTGCTTAAAAATGATTGTATTTATTTTATAAATACTTTGGTTTTTTTTTTCTTGTTTTAACGTCTACGTAAAAGACAAATAGGTTTTTTTTAAATAAAATGGAAGAATGATATTATATATCAATAATAATGTTTACGTCTCTACATATGCTTTTTAGACTATAAAAAAAAAATTACATGAATATACCAAATGAAGAAGCAAAACCTTGATAGTATGCCTGCTCATTCCATAGAGTAGATTTTATATTCATGTTAATTTTGCTATTTTTCTACAAAACAAAAATTATTATAATAAAAATTTCACATAAGGAAAATAGCAGTTTATTTTGTATTAAGTTTTAAATTATTAATTTTCTCATCACAACGTCATCATCATCAAAAAGAAAAAAGAAACTATTGGATGAGAAAAGAATGTAACATCACGTAGTTTGTTGTGGAGATATTTTCAAGATTTGTAATAATATATATCTACAAAGATACTATTATAATATCAAATAGTATACTTTTATACTAAATTAAAGTTCGTTGAAAAACTATATTTATATGAATTAATAAATATTATTCAAGAGTTTTTCCTGTCAAATTATGAAAACTTATGAATAATAGATATAGAAAAATATTCTTTAATTTTTATGGCTTAATAAATTAGAACAAATAAATACAAGGTTGCTAACGCCAGGAAGAACATTTCCATATTTATTTTATTTTTGATATTAAATTACCATGTAATATCGTAGAAAGCACTACATGTCTCGTATAGTAACTCTAGGAGCGTTTTTATAATATTTTCTAATATAACTGATGTTTGATAATCTGTAATTGCATTCGAAAAACTTAATTAATTTAATTTTAAAAGAGAATTTATCCGAAACTATTTATTATATATATATGAAAAAGAAACTTTGTTGAGTTCTCTACTCAACGATATTATCTGGAATAGGGCACAATTTTTCTGTAAGATATGTAACCAAAATTTTGCTTTTTATGCTATTAACAACAAGTTGAATTATTAATTAAATAATCTATTATTCAATCTCGTGCATGACAGACCAATTCTTTTAATATTACACAGAAAACCTTCATTGTAATGAAAAGCTGTATATATATATATTTAGCTAAAAGGAGTGGCATGATTAATTTATGTTATTTCTTCTATATAATATTATTATTTGATAGTATTATCATTTTATCCTCCTCAACAATTTTCATTCTTTAAGAGTTAAAGTTTGTTGAGAGAACTACAAATTTATTTAATGTATTGCGATTTAGTTGGAACCGACATTAGTTTTCATAACTGTCTGACTACTTTTATTAGTTTGATTTAAATTTTCGGATAGTAGTTCGGTGCTATAGACTTCAGATAAAATATCTCTATTAAGTTTTTTACATTATTTAGTAAACTGTACATAGTAAGATATTTTAGTAATTCTTCTTCAATTCAATTCATTATATTTTCTCATCTGTATGACCTACAATTTTCATTCCATTATATCTATTATTCGTAACGAGAACATCAAGCAATTAATATGCGAGTGATATGTTCTAACCTAATTAACAGTCTGGTGTAGAGAGAAGGATCTTGACAGAAATGTTTTATCTTTGACCTGTCGATGAAAAGCACCAAACTAATATCCAGAAATTCCAATAAAACTAATAGTGGTAGTGATAGAAGTCCCATAACAAACTATATTGTAGTACATGGAATAATTTTTAGTTATTTCAATAAGTCTTTACTATTTCGGGATGGAATTATTGATATGATTTAACTTGTAATATAAATATAAAAATTAAACAAAAGAGATATATATGATTCTGATAAATATCGAAAGTAGAAAATGAAAAAGGTCAAACAAATATGTTCGTATAAAGAAATTTCTAATCAAATCTTTTATTTCTATGAAAAACAAAAAAACGAATGAAATCTACGATATTGTATTACAACTCTATATCAAAAACATAATTAATACAGAATTGTTGTTATATCCATTATGTTTATTATTTTTATATAACAGCTAATTAGATCTTGCTCGTCCAAAAACAAATTTTGTATCACAACAATGATGCAGAGTTTTTCAATAATCGACACATACAAATCCACATGTTTCCTATTAAATTATATGAATAAGCTGTATTTTTAACGAGCTTAAATTTAGTATAAAACTTATTATTTTATGTAATTCGAAATGACAGCTCAATCTCCTTGAAAAAATATCGTTACACATTCTGTACATAAAAACTAAGAACAAACATCTCAGTACAAATTATTGCAGCTATCCAAACAGGAAAATAAATGCGAATAGCTTTTAGAGCAAAAACAACGGAAAACAAGTCCTATTAATATGAATGACCTTTTTCTTTTTCTTAATATAATACATCTTCAAGATACGTAAATAGACTGAAGATATTTTATGGGATATGTATAAAAACTTTTTTACAAGTATATGGATTATTTCTTAAATATTTATTTTATTTTTCATTAAAAATATTATGGTTATCATTCAAAACATAAAATAGTACCATAGATGAAATGACGCAAAAGTTGTTTCTTATCCAATACGATCTTCGTTTTTTTTTTTCTACTGTCATCATCATTTAGATGTGTTCTTAGGATAGTCTATATCTGTATACATGAATCAATACATTATATGCCAATGGTTGATTATGTTCTGTGTCCATTTTTGTTCTTTCTTGACTTAAATATTACTGTTGTTGTTGTTTTCTTTAAGCACATATATATGTATACGTGTTCTGTGCATTTACTTGCAATATAAGATTTCCGATATTGTTGGTTCTTCTCATTGGAAACATTTAACCGAACATAAATAGCAGTTTTATCATATTGCACTTAATTATGAGTACAAGTGACAAAAGTATGCCATACGATAAAGAATTTGTTAAACGTCCAAAAGAAAAAAAAAATCATTTGGCTAGTCGTGTTAATAAATTTCAAGAAATAGTCAATCAAACTGGTGCACCACCATCGGCTGATCAAGTTGAGTAAGTTAATTGAAGTTATTGAAATATATTTTTCATTTATTTTCTTTTTAGTTTAGCTCATCGTGGACATGATGTTCAAGAACAAGTTTTAGAAGAAATGAAACAATTATGTCAAGTAATTCAAAATAATGGACAAAAAGAAGACGATGGAACAGTAACAATTTCATTTGGTAACTTATTTGAAGTATATTATATAGTTATTTCATTTAAATAAAATGATTTAAAATCAAAATTTTTTTTTTTTTTGCTTTTCAGATTTATTCGGATATTTCAGATAAATTAGTTGGAGTTTTATTAAAAGCACGTAAACATGGTTATTTAAAATTTCAAGGCGAAATGTTATTACAACATAGAGATGAAAATGTTATTATTCATCTTATTCGTTTACCTTGATAAGGTTAATTTAATTGTATCACATTTCGAATTATTATGATTCAATTCAATGAACAGTAAACTGAATTTATTAAACGAATAAAAACGATAAATTTTGAAAAACAGAAATATGTTACGACAATATTTTATTTATTATTTTCGCTAAAAATATTTATAAAATAATTTAAAATATTTAATTTAGAAAACAAAAAGACTAACTTATCAGAATCAAAGAAAAGAAAAAAGAATTGTGATGTCATCTGTATCAGTTCCTTGTCTCATCAACGTACGCTATCGGAGGAAATGTTCAGGGTTGAATCAGTACGTTTCTCTTAAAAACCAAGAACAAATGGCACTAGGCTTCTTTTTCATAGTTCCTTAACAACAACAAAAAAAGGATTGAGAAACAAGATTTAGACTACCCTGTAAAATTCTTAAGTCTTTCTTGAAACTTAAAGGCCTTTTACACTACTTTTGAGAATATTCTAAATAACGCAATGTTTGATTTTTGCGTACATTAATAATTATATAACTAATGTCAAGGATGATAGATAGTGATATACTGATTAGCAACAGTTGTCATATAATCAACACAAAAAGCATTAATTGATCAAGTTATTACTTTCAAGAATAATCAATATTAGTGTTTATGAGTTAATCCGGATGCGTAATAATAAATCGCGTTCTGCTATGGATATAATGGATGTGTACAGTAGGTCTATCTGTCATTTAAATTGACGGCTCGAATAGTAATAATGATAAATTAAGAAAATTCTCTTGAAACTAAAAAACAAATACATATGCATTGCACATTTTAGCTATGACGAGGCTACATTAACAAACTTTCTTTTCTGATGGATACGGAAACTTGATGCACTGGAGAATAAAATTCTACAGTACACGTAATATCCAAGGAGAGATTATGCATAATTAACTAAACACTATTTTTAGCAATCAGATTCCATATTACAAAATACATAATCTTTTTGTTTTAACTGAAAAACTTAAATTGAATAACGTGAGTCTTATACGATCAGTTTATTATAAAATACAAATTAACAACCACATCCCACAGTAAAATAATATAAATAGAAAAATGAATCATATATGTGGGTGTAAGTGTGGGTTTATTTATTTGTTGATAGCATGTAACCTATGTAAACCATACCAAAATAGAATCAACGTTGTTGAGAGCAAGCCTAGGAATACGCAGTTTCAGTTTAGTGACCACAAATATCAACTATACAGTGTAGTTACTACACCCTAATACCAATGTTTATTGAAGCATCTCAACAAATGCGGATATTTTTGCTCCAGTAAATACCAATACCAATGTAGATAGTGCCTCAGTGACTCAATGTTGAATAGTTACAACAACGCTGCACATCGCTAAGTCAGCCTTTGTTCTCATTTCCCGCTAGGTAAACATCCTCAGACTATTTCCTTCATTTCTTAACAAAATGTATAATACAATTCATAAATGTTTATTCAGTAGTTAAAATTTCGAAGCATTTGTAAATTTTACATATTGAACAGTTTGCTCAAATTTTTGTTATAAAAGACACGATTGAATTTATGTTCTGATAGTACGAAAATAAGAAAAGTCCTATAGTTGTAGGTGCGAACTACTTCATTGACAATAATTATTTCCAACTCCGAATGGTCAACAATAACTCATTCAATCGTACCATGATACATACCAATGATCAGTTTTATTCCATCAATCTCAAGATGAGAACCATCATCGTTAAAATAATGAGCTTCTTTTATATTTTCAGATCTTATCTTGGTTGCCGACCAACCAAGTCATCGTCAGTTTTCTAACTCTTCTTGCTCTTTTTCGAATTGTTTTGATCATTTGATAAATTTATTTTAAGATAGAGCTTGATCGTCAAAAATAGAATATTACTCATCATACATTGATTTCGATTGAATAGTACACATCTCATTGTAGGCAAGAAAATTGTCTTTATTCATCTCAAAATAAAAATGCATAGTTTTCATTGAAATTTTTCATATTATACTACCACTTAACTAATGTTATTGTAATAAATTTATGTACGAGCATTCTTAACACTACAAATACATTTAGACAGAATTTTTTGCCGAGCTTCCTGTACTTTGATATGATATTAATATCGACACATTTGGTATGTCCGATAAGTTCTATGAATGCATTAAGAGAGAAAAATTATCCTCGAACAGTCTATGTTATATTATAATACTATTCCTATGTCATCGAATATGCTCGAAGTAATAAGCTTTTTCATAAATAAGTTTATTTTTCAAATGTAATGTTCCTTATGTATACATATATATATAGTAAACATGCAATTTCATGTCTTAAAAATGAGTAATATAAACAATACAATAGTAAAGTTTAAGTCTTCATTGTGAAATATGATTGATTGATGTATTTGCTGGTTGTGGTAGTATTTGGTTATTGTTTTTCTTTATTTTTTTACATCGATTAAAAAGAATTTTATAAAATACATGAATAAATTGTTGACGAAATCGTTTTGATACACATACATAGATATAGAATGGACTCTAAAAGAAAAATTATTTTTTATGAAAAATTTCATTTAAAAATCTTTCTTTACTTACTGCAAAATAAAAATTATGTATATCAATAGCCAAAACTTGAACAAAACGTATTTGATCAATAGTTGGTAAATTGAAAGCTACTAAAGCAACAATTACAAATGGTGTTAATACGAAGATATTGTAAATAACTTGGACAAGTACCATTTTTGTTAATTGTTTATCTAATTCGCGTCGTACTAATGGAACAGTTCGATAAGCTAGATGTTGTACATTGTAATATGCTAACGAACCAAATAAGACCATGACAATAAGAGGTAAAATACCCATAAGAATAAAAACATAACCATATGTAATGTATCCTTGAAAAAATTTATTTGTAATTGAACAAACATATTGACTCGTATTGGATGATAATACAATAGAATCAAAATAAATTATAGCTGGAATTCCATGAAGAATCCAAAATAAAATAGTTCCTACTGAAACATATCGAGCTACTTTAATATTATTCCATCGATGCCAAAATGAATTAAAAGAAGTGGCTAAGAATTGGTCAAATGTTGCTAAGCACATAAATGTTAATGATGTTAATAAAAATACTTCAATAAAAAAAAACCTTAGTTTACAATAAATTATTGATTGTCCTGGCCAATCAATTCCATAACCATTAATTATAATATGACTAAATAAACCATTAGTTAAATGAACAATATTAGCAAATGACATAGCTGTCAAATAAAATGCACATGAATTTTGTCGAAATGTTTGAAGACTTAAAAATATAATAATATTTAAAAGTCCACCAAAGAAACCAATTATTAGAATAAATAAACCCAAATAGATAGTAACTTGTTGTGAAATAATTGTAAAAATTGGAGTAGAAGTAGTCGACATAATTTTTCAAATTGAAAACAAATAATGATCTACTGATAAAATGTTACAGTCTTTTAAGTCCACTGAATATTATATGATTAACATATAATGAAAAATGCTATTTCTATTATATATGTTATAAAGGATGATTGTTATAAGTTTATCGGCATTATAAAAATTTGCCCCAAAGGTAAACATTCTCGTAGGATGTAGAATATTGAAGAATGTTTACATAATTAAATTAAAAATAATTAGCAAGATTATACATACATGATAAAGTAAGTCTGACAAAGAAGTGTCACAAAAGCAAGCTATTCTGCAATTTTTAATATCAATGATGCATAATTAGAAATAAAAAAAAAGACCTCGTGTTTAATTTCAAAAAATTACAAATAATAAATTTTGTTTTAGAAATTCTTCATCTATTGACTTAACTTTATGTCCTATATTTGAATAGTCCACTTAAGATACATATCCAAGTGAAAGTATCAATTTTAACCTTTACGATTAAAATAAAAATCCATAACTTCTAAATGAATGCCAATGAGTACATAAAGAATAAAGGATTAAAAAAACGTACTACCGGCAGCGATGACATCATACGAAACTAAACAATATGAAGAATGATTTAAAAATGTCTTTAAGAACAAGTCCTAAAGAAAGACTGATGAAAAATAGCAACAAAGAATATAAACAATTGCGTTTGTAAGTTATTTTTAAGGCTAAGACTGAAGCTAGAAAGATAATTGAATACGTTTAACAGCAAAATCCTACCAATTACCTATAAAACAGCATTATCAATAATACGTTTAAAAAGGTGATGTCTAATATTTTACCTAAGTCATTCTTGCGTGAATCACATATCAATAAAAGCAGCAAACCTAAACTATACTCACTCAGAATTACAGAAAAATCTTGCAAAAACTACCGTTCAATATTTGCATTAGTATGATGTTTTTTAACTGAAACTCACTCTTCATTTTATTATTTCAAATTATTATCTATGAATCAAGAAAATCTCAATTATTCAAAAATTCTAACAAATCAATAACGATTTATTAATCACATTTATATAGAAAACAACAAAGAACTTTAAATAATTTTTTTCTTATTAATAGTTTAAAATAAATAATGAAAAAATTTGTCCATGTTTAGTAACTGTTATTTTATGAATCGATCATAATAAAAGCACAAAAAATAATTAAACATAGATTATGTTGTAGGAGGAAATGAGTTTTTAATTCGTCTGACTTTTACCTTTATTTAGGATTAAATTTTTACTAAAACCAACTTACATTCTTCAAAGTAAAGCTCCTTCGGGATATTTTACCTATGTGAATGAATTAATTCTCTCTTCCCACAGAGTAAAAAAGTTATGAACTTTCATTACGCTTGGAGAACTTTTTCTTGTGAGTAATGTACTGATATAGGATGGCATTCTATTCATATAGAAGAAAAGAAATTTGATCGCTTCTGAAACGTGAAAAAAATAACTTTTATACATGTGTTTCATATGAAATTTATTTAAAATGGTACATTGTTTTATTTGAGAAAACTTATTGACTTGAAAATATCAATTTGAATGTTTTAATAGAATTTTATTAAAGTCTTTCTTTTGATCTATTACTTAGCTCTTGTAGTTAAATAATATTTATAGGACATATATATCATCATGAATTGTAATTAAGATAATTATTAATTTTATAATAAGTGTTAACAATCGAAGAACAATGCATATATCTCTCTCATGAATATATTTTTCAGAAAGAGACAGAAAACTTACAAAATTTGATAGACAAATTTAGATAACTCAATCTAATTTTTGTCATATATTTAACAATGTAAAAATTATTAAAGAGTATCCATTGATATGAATATGTATGTTAAATAATTATTAAAACCATAATGAAAAAGATATACTGACAGATGAGCTTGTGACAAATGAATCTTTCGATATTCGAACCTGACATAAACAAGAGATTAAAAATATCAGAAGGCTATTTTATTTTAATAAGTTCAAAATCACATACAAAAATTGAACTGAGCTCTTGCTTATTTTAAGTACAAATCTCTTGTTATTAAACGAACAATCGAAATGAGTTGTTGTAATTTCTCATTCAAAAGTTCATATTTAACATGTTTCTTTAGTTTTGAGTGTAGATATGAACATTCGTCTTCTCTCTTGACTCACTCCCTTCTGAAGACTGGAATCGAGCTATTAAACGATTTTTAATTCTTCGTGTATTTTCCTCAATACAACAGCTAATATCATTTTATAAATCTATCAAAGATTTGAGAATGAAATAATATGCAAGTTTGATAATGATTGAATAATTACAAGTCAAACTTTTGAAACTAAAGAAAGTTGTTAAATATAAAATTTTGGATTAATAATTACAACAATTAATTTGTTTGATAGCAAGAGCTCTATTCAAATTTTGATGTCAATTTGAATTTATTACAATAAAAGTATCCTCTAGAATTCTTTAAAACTCTTGTTTATGTTAGGTTCAAATGTCGGGAGATCACCTTTCGAAAGGCTCCTTTATCGTATTACTAATTGAATAATCAAGTTTATAATACCGAACCTGAAAAACATTTGTAGGAGATTATAAGAGTACAAGTTTATCATCATCTATTCATTTAGTAGGAAATATAAACTGTTCTTCTCGAAAATATTTTCGATTTTTTTTAACTTCATGATTAATCATTAAAATAAATGCATAACACACACATTATGTGAATTATATTGATTAAATAGAAGAGAAAAGAGAGTATATTCGTTTAACTCGTTCTAATTTAAAACACCTCTCGAAAATATAATACTATCATACAATCAAGCAGATTTTTAGCCTTCTAGAGTTTTCGGTTATTCTACATACAATGCATCGGTGTATCAAAACCTATATGTTCACCCTCCTGAAGTTTTAAATTCTTCTGCTCAAAAAGAAAGGCTGGATTCAACACTACGATAGATAAAAAATTATCCGTTCATATATATTTTTGTGATTCTAGTTGATTATCCTTTAACGAAATCATCGATTAAAGATGTGAGGACAATATGGGTATGATTGTGATTTGGGAAAAGATACTGATACTCACACCCTATTTCTCAAACATCATACCAGTGAAAGAGGTTAAATAAGTACAAATAATCAATATTTAAGTACGAAATCATAATTTCACACAATACTAAGTTATGAATTACAATTATTATAGAGATTGCTCCTGACCTTTTTTTTTCTGTCCACAATGCTTGGTTACATTTCTGCATATCTTGATCGTAATAAAAAATAAATCAAAAAAAATCTTTTAGCTATTTATAAATTAAATAGTTCTAATAGAATGAGAATTTTGATACACAAATTAATCGAATGTATATATATATATTCAGTGTTAATTTTAGAGCAAAAAACAAAAAATCTTCCTATATCAATAAAGTCATAATTTGTTTTATCAAAAGTCAATCATCTTGTTGAAAAAAAATCAAAAATTTCTCTCATATCTTTCTATTAAAATTCGAAATAATAAAAAAGAAAACAGTTACATATTTTATAAGTGTTTATATACAAAACACAAAAAAAGATAAAAGACAAGTAATCTATAGGTAGATAACAATAACGTGTTACAATATTTTCACATTCTTTCTTTTTTTTTGTTTTGTGCTTAATTGAAGAAAAACAAATGACACGTTATTTATTATTTCTTTTGACGATTATTTTTACTCTTATTTATATACCAAAAATATCATCTAGTGATTCAAAATCACCAATTATTTTTATTCCCGGAAGTTTTTGTAGTCTTGTTGAAGTACGTATAAATACAACACTTCAACCATCTTGTCCAATATCTTTACATAATCAATGGATACTTCTTTGGTTAAATATTCGATTTTTTGAACCAAAATATTTAACATGTTTTCATAATATATTTAAATTCATATATAATTCTTCATTGAATTCATTTGAAAATCCATCTGGTGTTGAAACACGTATTATATCTAATTCAATAGATGATTCTTTTCTTAATGGTCTTCTTTGGGAATATATACAATTAGATAAATTTCTTTTTCATTTTATAACAAATTATAATTATACAGATGGTAGAAATATTCATTCATTAGCTTATGATTTTCGACGAGGTACAAATAAAATATTATCGAATTTTAATATTAATTTAAAACAATTAATTGAATTAACATATATTAAAAATATGAATAAAAGTGTTTATTTAATAAGTCATAGTACAGGTGGTTCAATGATATTATTTTTTCTTTCACAACAATCACAATTATGGAAAGATAAATATATACATGGATGGATATCATTAAGTGGAAATATAGCTGGTGAAATTGATATTATTCAAAATTTAATTCAAGGTTTTCTTTCACCTATTATATCAAATGATATTATTCAAACATGGGATTCTTTTGCTTGGCGTCTACCTGAACCAATGATTTATGGTTCTAATAGAATAATTATTAAGACACCATCAAAAAATTATACATCATATGATATGTTAAATTTTTTACAGGATTTAAATGCTAAAGAACTTGCATTAATTTATCCACAAACATCATCAATATTAGCAACATTACCACCACCTAATGTAAATACATATTGTTTTTATGGTGTTAATATTTCAACACCAATTGGTTATATATCAAAATCAGATCAATTTAAAAGTAATGAATTAGAAACTATTTATGGATGGGGTGATGGAGAACAAGATGATACAACAAATATGTCATGTCAATTATGGAAAAATACAATGGATATTAAATATAAATTAATTTTAAAAGGATTTAATAAAGTCAATCATTTAGAACTTGTTGGAAATGATTATGTACTTGAAGAGATTAGTCAAATTATTTTTTCTTGAAAAATATTTTATTATTAAACAACTTGTTGTTGTGTAAAATAAAATATTGTTATTAAATAAACGATGAGAATAATGAAAACAACAAAAAAAAATCAGTAAATAATTTGTTAGAATACTAAATAATATGTTTCCTGTGAAAAATAGAACAACCAAAAGTTCTTATCTTGATTAAAAGATTGAATTGATATTTAAAAATTATTAAATATTCTATTAATGACTAATTAACAAAAAAAAACACTAGCAATGTTTCATAACTCAATGATATACTTAGTCAGACCTTACAATTAAAGTAAATTGCTTAACATACAAGTGAAATCAGAATGAATTAAGAAGAAATAATCTCTACTATGTTCTTCTTATCAAATCATAACTAGATAGCAATTCAATCTTTTTCTGTATTACTATCAAAGAATAAATGAAAACGAAAAAGCAAAAACAGTCGAGATTGTTTCTTCTGAAATTGTTGTATTTTCATCTGTACGTTAAGTTATTGACTTCAAATGTTAATATCTGGTGACGTGTTTCATCAAGTTACAACACGTAGCTAGGTTTTTTGTTGATCAATAATTAATATCAAGTTAAATAAAATAAAAAAAACAGTAGTTATTAGTACTAAAAAAAAACTAAACGTTGAAAAAAAAGCTGAATATAGAATCAATGATATTGAATAATAAAAATTAAAAATACATATGATAATCGAAAAATTCTAACGAAAATTGTTTGATTAAATATATGCATATATTTTGTTATTAATCACAATTATAATTTGATTATGAAATATATTCTCGATTAAGATAATATATATATATTAGTTTTTAAGTTTCATTAGATCTTTCCCATTTTAAATCTAATTTAACAATTTCGTCTATAACACGATCAACATTTTTATCAGGAAGAAGTTTTTCAACAATTGCTCGAGCTTCACTAATATCTTTATCATATTCATTTGTTTCTGTATGAAAAATAAGTTCATCAATTTGAGACCAATACGCTGCAAGTATTTGTGTTAAAATCATCATTTTTCGATTATTTCCATACGCACCACAACCCCACCAACCTGTATGAATTTTTGTACGCAAATTTCCACTACGACTAGATCGTTGATTCTTTGCATTTAATGCACGAGTTTTATAAGCAAGTATTTGAGCTGCTTTAAAACCTACATAACAAGTGGTAACAATATAGTTTACTTGTTCACGGGTATAAGATCCTTGACCCTGACTCGGTGCTTCAATAGCAATTAAATTAACTGTTTGAGGTTGAGGAAGATAATTACATGCTTGAATAAGTTGTCTTTCACTTGCTTTAGCAAATGCATTACCATATACCTTACTTGTATCCATTTTAATTACTCGTTCAGTATTACTTATTAAAACTAAAATTAAAAAAGATAAACAATAAATAAAAAAAAAAAAGTATTATAAAAAATTATTTACTTGGTGTTGGTACAGTTTTGTGTGTGCTTTTATCTGAACCAGTTGTATATGAACCAACTGTATTTATTGTTTGAACAAAAAATTCTCTTAATGCAGCTAATTCAATACATTCTAAAACTTGTAATTCATCTTGTGCTAATAATGGACCACTATAATAAGCAAATAAATCATGATTTGCAAAATTTAAATACCATTCAACTGTTTGATTATCACCACATGTTTCATATTGAAATACATTAGGCATAAATGTTATTTTTGTTGATGTAAGTGATAAGTTATTAGGTGCAATATTAGGTAAAAATGGTTTCCAACGTGTTACTAATAATGATCTTTCAGGTGATGGACAATAATGTTTTATTTCATTAATATATTTAAAAATAAATTGTTTATTTTTATCTCTAAAACTTGGTGAATATTTTTCATATAAATCTTTTGATTTCATTTCTTCTGCTTGAAATAAAGCCTGTTGAAATTCTTCTTGATAACCTGGGCGAAATATTTCATTTCGTAATTCATTTATTGTTCTAAGAGATATTTGTGGTGCACCAGGTGCTGGTGTACACCAAATATCGTCGGTAAAACGAGAATGTGCTGCCATTAAAATATTATGAAAAATGAATAACGATATTTGGTTGTTTTTATTTGTCAATGTATGCTACTGCAATGAGAAGGACAAGAAAAAAACCAGTTGCTGTAGTTACAAATAAACAACAGAATGCTTAAAAAGGTAGATATTTATTTTTTTACTATTGGAGGTAATACACACGAATAGTTTGTCAGGTGATATTTGTTTTTTGAGTTAATGTACCATGATTTATCATTTTGCATGAGTACAATACCATCATGCTAAATTATAATCGAACAAATTGTGAATTGATAAAAGCGTAAAATAATGCAATGTTTATTTAATCTATAGAGTTTTATGCAAGTAAAAGAAATTCAAGAGAGTCCGATCTACATAATTCTAGAACACAGAATGTTTATGAACGTATTTCACATCTAATTTAAAAACCAACTACTGCAATTTTTGCAGGATTAAAATGTAAAGCATGATATTGCTGTTCTTAATAATCATAGGAAAATTCTTTTATTCTATCTATTTTGCAAGATATTTCTAAACCATTCTTTAAAATATTCTTTCAGATCTAGAACTAGGAAGTAGTTCATATATTATAATAAAATTTTAGTGATAGAGAAATGGACGAGAGAGTGGACACAAATTTCTATCCTATACACTTGATTAAAAAGCTATTGCTCAAATATTCTGTCTAAGGTTGAATCAATTGTCCATCACTGCCCATGCCTCACAATAGTTTAGCTAAGAAATTACTCACTACTTAAAAATTTTTGTCCATGCTACTACAGTAAAAACATGCGAGGTTTACCACACGTATATCGGTTCAGTTAACTATGGTCTGTCGATATTTTTTTTTGTAGAAAACTGGTTACTTCAGCTTGGTACCAAATAAAGAGACATTATGATTATTTCAAAAACTTTTTGAAGTTTTCTTTTTTTTTTCCATTTAACGGTCACTAAGTAATGTTGGTGAGCTGAAGGCACCTAAAATATCAATATAGGATAAAAATGCCTCCTAAACTAGATTCATTTTAGAACTTTTTTCGAATTTTTGTCATTTTTCACGATTAGCGAATCAGAATACTTCTACAAGATACGCACATACTATCTGTCAGACCGAGCCTATAAGTGTATGATCAAAGCAATTAGTCAATAGGGAGTATGTCTCCTGCATAAGAACTCGAATTAGTTAATCTGCAACTAGCCCTTGTCCACTGAGACGGCAATATACGTTGAGCATAGATATTATCTTAACTATCAAGTTTTATTGCCTTAGACATCATCCAAGAGTTGCATGCAAAACGATTTTTCAAAGTATAGTTGCGCAGCGATATCTATTGTGATTCTTTTTGTGGTCGTTTCAGGATCGAGTGATGAAAATGTAACTTTTATGTTGAACTAGACTATCATATTTTTTTAAGAAAAACGAGACAATACTACGCTTCGTATATACTTCAAGATTTTCTGTTTCTATGTGCACTGCACCGGTCTTTGAAGTGTTTGATCGTCGGTTTCTTAAGTTACCACAGTTTTTAAAGAAATCCCTATTTAACCATCGTTTACCGTTGAAAATAATGCCATATTTGCAACATGAGAATAGAAGTGATAACTCATATTATGTACACGTGACATTATTCTTATCTTGATTTTTTTATAGCATTGTGATTTGTTTCTTACGCTTATCTTATGTGAATACATAATCATGCATAGTAATTATCGTTTGCTAATAGTGATCTAATTGATTGTTCTTATTCGGGCAATAGTGAAAGACACGGCTATTGATTTACATATAAGCATGGCAGTAAAATAATAAACAATCGTTTTAAGAAACAGTGATTATACAGGATTCCTTAACTTGAATTTGAGATCAATGGACTATAATTCTCTAGAAAACGAGATGTCTCCGAGCTGTCCATGATATTTTCCCAGTAAACGACGTCAATTTTAAGGAAAGCACAAAAGTGCTTTTTCCACTATTTCCTATGGGAGAAAGGCGCACAATGGGCTGTTCTACTATTTTTTTAAGATGATGTTGTTCAGTTAAAAAAAAAACGTTTCAGAATGTTTGAATATATCTCGTTCTTCAAAGAATTAATTGCTCTATTGTTCTGTGTACTCAAAAGAAACTTTAATTTTCGAATAATGAGTATTGAAAAAGTTAGGTTTTGGATTTTCTAGGAAAGAAAATTTTCTTTCCAAAATTACTATTTGGACTCTTTATCTTGATTTTTAGGACATAAATCGAAATTTTTTGTCAATAGTTTGATTTATTTTAATTTTCAATACAAAGAATAATAATAATTGAGACCTCATTGAATAATATTATTCTGATGAGAATAGAATAGAAAAAAAAATGTTAAAATAATTTTAAAGTTCAACTAGTGCACAAATAAGTATCAATAATAAAAAAAATTGTCGACAAAGTCGAAATCGATGCCGTTGTAATCGTGACAAATTTTCTGTATCTAATTTGTTTCTTTTTTTTGCACAGGTCGTATTATCACTATAAACTCGTCTTTTTATAGTTGAATAATTACTTTCATACTCAGGTGTAAAGATCAATCTTGATTTTGAGCTGCAAATGAATCTTGTTACTTTTCTATATGTTTAAGTCATTAAATCATTTGGTATTTTTGTAAGAATTGGTCTTCGTATATGGTGCATTGTTTTGATTTCGTTATACATAGATTTACAAATTATTCATTCAATCTAAAATAAATAAGAAAGTTAGCAGCGAAATCGATTATTTCTCATTATCATTTTGATACTAGGTCTTTGCTCAATATAGAATTGAATTCTTCATCGAATGGTAATATTTTCCGTTGGAGGTTGTTGAGCAAGAAGTAAGCATTAGAATCTAGATCTCGATGTTGGAAGGATTCTTTCCATTTGTTTATGTAGTGCATGCAAAAAATTTTGAGTTAGTGTTGAAAAACTATCTGTCAAATATTAGAAAATAACTTTTTAGCCTCTGCCACCTATAAAACCTATCGACAGCCTTAGATTTGGATTGAAATACTGAAATTTCAATCCAATTTAATTCTCTATCGATCGTTGTAAGTGCATGAGTCTACTCTTAACCAACTCACATCATATCGTATACCTTCTACTTATTAGCCACCGGAAAGAATCAAAAGGAGTCAGTTACAACCAGAATTTGATGCTTTTTCTAAATGCATGTTCAGAATTTTTTTTTTTCTAAATTATGGTTCATTAGCTGTACATAAATATTTAAATAGATTTTGTACTGTTATTCATAACTAGTGCAATTAGAAAGTGAAAAGAAAAAAAAAAAAGAGTTCATGACTTTTCATAAATTGCATATTCAAAGCATTAAAAGAATGGCATTTTTGATGATGAAAAGGACATAAAAATTGATATATTTAAATTTCATTAATTGAAATAAACATTTTAATCAAACAAATGAAATGAAAATATTCATTTTAATGAATGAATTTGAAATACATCAACTATTTCATCATTTTAATGTAGTTTTTTTTTCAGTTTCTGGAAATTCCTCTAGATGAAATTTTGGATTAGTTTTGACATTCTACTGTTATGTAAAAAAAAGATATTTTTATTGAATACATTGAAACAACTTTGATCAAAATATAAAATTGAACTACATAAACAATTCTGTATAGACGAGAGAATGTTGCAGAACAATTCATTGCATTTCTAACAAGAATAAAAACTTTTCTGAACATAAAGTATGATGTCAAATATCATAAATGTATTATTTATACAAAAAACTCATTCACAATATAATCATATTAATAAACCTTATCAAATGTTTTACAGCAGAAATGAAATGAACAATAAAAAATAATACTTTATATTCATATGATGAACAAAACATTAATAAAAACAAAGCATAAAGATATAAGATTGAAAATGTAATCAATATAAATAGATGAACTACCAGGAGAGAAAAATTTCCTTTTTTTATTACTTTTTTCCTGAATTTCTAATATTAACGAATATATAATATATTATTAATTCAATTTGATGGTAAACTCGTTTGTCTTTGAGTAAATGTCAATTGAGTTGAGCTAAATAATCTTTCCATAGAAGCATTAGTCACTTGATATGGTATCTACTATTCCAAGCACTATCGATAATAATGGAAAATAAAGACGCATTTCACTAAGTAAACAGAATTTCATTGGAACACGATCAATCAAATAATTTCAATACTTTGCCGAACACAAATATTATTTTATAGATTCAGCGTTCTGTACAGATTTTGTCTGGTATAGACATCGCTTTTTTCACTTGTGTCAAACATTTACTGTTCATGAACTAATTTCAAAAGACAGGAAAAGAAAAAAACATCTAAATATATTTTTGATTCTCATCAGTAACTTATAAGTGGAGAAAAATTGATCTGACACGTTATAAAAAAAGACCTTTACAACTGAAGTTACTATTAAATATCTATAATAATTCTTATATCATGTTGTCATGTGTTTATACGTATCTGGTTTAGTAATTAATCTTGTCCATAAATAATACATAAAGATCTGTTTTTTGACATATCAAAGTTGTTTTTTTTGTGCCAGTGGAAAGATATATATACAATTTTCTTTTTTTTTCTGTTGAAAACAATTGAACTAATCGTTCTCTGTTCATTTGTATCTATATTTTAAGCTGTTTTTATTAAACAACTCTTCTATATAAACAAAAAAAAGAAATAGTAACCGATAAAGATACTTCTATTAGTAAAGAGTATAAAAGAACAAAAAAGAAAACGAATGTTTTTTTTTCAAGTATTATTTTTATTGCGTAAAGAATGGAAACTTACTTATCTTTTACTGTACTACTAAATAGATAGTTCTCAATGCTTAACTTATTCTACATGTCATGAGAATCGAGTGATGAGGAAAAAGGAAATAAATAATAATGAAGACTAATACTTTTGATTATCCTGAAGCTAGAGAAGTCAAGCAAAAAAAAAATGCAAATGAGTTTGTAATCATGATCTTAATCATTTCTCTCAATGTCATAAATGTTCCTTTTTT